TGTAGTGGTATTCCCGTTGTCTGATTGTTGAAAACTTTGACGGAAAAGGTCAACGACCTTGCGATAGGCTTTTGCAATGTCTTGCTTCTCTGCGAGTCCAGCCCAAACACCGATCACGTCGCCCACCATGCCACGATTATCCCTATCCACGCTACCGAAAACGTTGAAGAAGACAGCAAACCAACTCTCTACTTGGGTCTTGAGGAAAGTAAGGTTCTCGGAAGCTTGTTCAGGGGTAATTACGTTGTCAGATCCTGAGGACTCTCCCATGTCTGTGTCGACCTGGGATGCGATAGTTTTGTTGGACTCTATCAAAGCCTTCAGACCCCTTAGTACAGGTGGCCGGAGATCAGGTTGGCTGTAAAGTAGTTGAGAAAGGAGTTGCGAGAATGCCGGTGAAAGGGCCTAAAATGATATCCATCAATATAAAAGTTTGTATACGAGCACCGCACGTACTGTCTTGATATCAGAAGGTGCATGGCAATAGCCCGCAAATCCAGACCATATCTGAGTGACAAGCACACTCCACACTTTCGCCTCTGATTGCCTTCCTTCGCTATCAGCCTTTTGCTGCAAATTGAACATCCGCTCGCTCATGGGCACGAAGTATGAGACAAAATGGCCAAGGAGAGACGGGTGGGGTTGGTTGAGCATAGGTAAAAGGAATGCCCGTGGTTCTTTGCCTGCTTGACTAGAATATATATATCAGCTCTAGTCCCTTTCCCCGTCCCAAAATGACTCACCGATCCGAGGGTTCTAGATTGAGAGGAATAGCTGCAAGAAGTACAGCGGGACCCACTACTCGCATAGCCGTCGAGAGCACAGCGTCAGCGGCTTCCTTGTGCTCAAAGCCTTTTTGGACCCGCAGATCGGCGATTTTCGATACTAGAGGCATGAGCAAAGCCTCTGTAGCAGTAGTAGACTTTGCAGGGTCCACACGAACGCCTAAATTTGAGACCAGAGCTGAAATAACCGAGAGCAATTCCTGCATAGCAGATGCGAAGGACAGGGAGTCGAGGGCTTTCGTTGTTTGTGAGATGATGCTTCGCAAAGGCGATTTTCCAGCTTCACCGTCTGAAATGGAGTCTTTCACGAGAGAAGACGTGATACACCGTGTCAGTAAATCCAGAGATTCCGCAACAGCTTTACGGGTTTGTGGGTTCTTCGTCTCGAAGTACGACCACACCGTTTTCCACACTCTGTGCAATTCAGTGGCACAGGCCGATGCGTCCGCGACATGATATGCAAACATTGCATCTCCTAGAACACGAATCCAAGATGGAGAGATGGAATTATCAGCTTTTGCTGGTGGGGATTCCAGGACGGCATGTAAAACGGCTGGAATTTGTTCGATTGCACTGGCAGTGCCCGTCGTAGTAGATGCAGTAAAAAGATCGGAAAGAATCGAGTATGCAGCCTGGGAGAGGTACGGGTTTCCTAATCGTGGAAGGGTCAAGAGCGTAGTGGTGATGGGTGGAATGGCCTTGCAAATATTTGTGTTAGTAGATGATAATTCAAAGATTATTTAACATACTTCGAGGGGAAGATTTGGAAGTACTGGGCGCAAGAATGCAAGGAGATGGATAGCTGTTTCTGCAGCTGAGGTATCAGACCCTTTTCCTGATGATTTTGATTTCGGTAGGGCACCGGTGCTTGCTTGCTGGAGCGCGATATGAGCCCACTCAGCCACCCGCTGAGCGTAAGGATGCCGAATTAAAGGACTCGGTGGGAAAGAAAGAACGTCTTTTACAATGTCAGCTGCTTTTTTGCGCACTTTTGGTCGAGGATCCAGACACAATTGCAGTATAGATGCAAATGATTGGCGGACCGCAGAAACGTCCAGTTGCGATTTGTCAAGGGCTCTGAACACAGCATTGTACAGAGTCAACTGTGACCTCATTGGAGGAGCATGTGCCATCAAGGCAGGAAAAAGTGGTGCGGTCAGAGAGAGAAGTGTATTGAGATTGGTCTGGATAACTGGCGGGGGGACGAAGGGAGCCACCAGAGCAAGAAGATACAGTTCTGCGGGTAGTACGTCTCCATCTCCAAGTGAAGTCTCCTTCTTTTGAATGCTTCCATCGAGAGTTGTGATCAATGCAGCAAAATAAGCCGTAGGTGTCCTGTCCGCATGCTTTTCCTCAAACGTAGATTCTAAAGCCTGAAGTAGGTTGGCTGGTGCTTTCTGGTGGGCAAGATTTGATGTCGTATGAGGCCGTATTTTGGCCAATGCTTCCTCCATGACGATCACTTGTGAATAGCCGTCCTGCTGATATGCAGCATTGATCAAAAAATTGATTACGTAATACACAAGACTACAGTTGAAATGCTCATAATGCATACCGTTGGGACCGCCAAAACGTTATGCATTATGAGACATATGCAATAGCATATGTGTCACACTATTGTGACGCATGTGACCTCCGCCAAAAGTGTGACAGAAAATCGTCCATAGTCCTACAGAAGTACATGTATTATACCGAGAAGAATTGTTCTAAAGAAGTTTGTCTAGCATTAAGTAGTTCTTCGCGTTGTAGGTTCGCGCGAAACTTTCGAAGTTGTGATGATAAATCAAGTGAAAATTGAGGATCACCATATTGCATGCATCCAACTTCAAGCTGCTGGCACAAATCGAGAATATTTTGACGAGTGATTGATGGATCCGCTTCGTCGTCGTCGTCGTCATCAGAATCAACCTCGATAACTTCACCATTTGCAACGGCAATTTCGTGGCGGACCGTGTCTGCAATGGATGAGTCACCACCTTCAAAAGCAGAGAATTCTCCCTTATCTCTCTCCTCGGCGGGGTCCAGAAGTTCATCAATAGTTGGCAAGGTACCGAAAATGCGATTGCGTGCTTGGAGTTCTCGGACTGATTGCATAAGCGCAGCTTCGGTAGAAGATAGCTGGGCAGCTTGTTGTGAGCGCGCGGGAATACGAATTTTGAGGCCGGTACGACGAGATGCAGCTTGCATAAGTGCATCAATGGCATTTAAAGCCATCTCCACATCTCCTTCAGCATCCATTACAGCTTTGAGGGCCGGTCTCCAATCAGAATCTATGTAGCGCTCGCCAAGAAGAGCCTGTAGCTTGTTCTCCGCATTGGGAAGGGACATTTCGGTAGTTGCGAATTTGTGGACGATGTTCCACGCAAGTGGATCCGTGTGAGGCCGTGTGTCAGCGTTAGTCGTTGGATCACTGTGATAGACTTGAGCACCCAAAAAAATGAGGTCAAAAGATGACTTACACTTGAATGTCAGTGTGATCCCAACAATGTTTGATGGTTTCGGACGTGACAGCATACCATGCTTGCTTCGCCATTGTCATGCCTTCGAGAATATTAATTTTATAAATATCCCGTTTGCCAGCTTCGTCAAGATCAATAGCACGCGCGCAAAAATTACGGCGATATAGTGCCTTGAAGCATCGGATGATTCCAGCATCGCATGGTTGGACAAATGGTGTCATGTTGGGCCCAAAAAATTCAAGATCAATGTTTGATGGTTGATACGAGATGCTGTGGGCAGAGAAATTATCAATAAACATGCAAATGTGCCGGTTTTGTTGCTTCATCTGAAGATCGAGTTTTTTGATCCATCTAGGCCACTGATTAGATATTAACAGCAATCATATCATCATGTCCATGTACTCCTCAAATATGACTGCTGTCATCCAAGCCTTCTTATTATTCCGATAATAAAATCCCCGCTGTTCCGGTGTCTGCTTCTTGAAGCATCGGGGTTTCTTTGCCCTGCCGATAAAAAAAGGCTCGAGCCTCTCGCTTTCATCTGCGTTGCAGGCTAATCCGATGGAGATACGGAATTTCTCTTTCTTCTTACCACTCATTTGTCGTGTTGCAAGGCCACGGTCTGGAGGTGCACTAAAATGAAAAAAAAATTAGGTGACATAGATTAATATAAATGAACACTCACTAAGGAAAGAATGATGTCTCGTCAAAATTCCACCGATCTTTGGGAGCAAACTTCACCAAGATCTTATGACAACGCTCTCGTTCTTTATCAACAGCTTCGATGTCAACAGACCCAGCTTCTCCATGCCGTCGGTACTCGTGAATCTTGTAGGCAGTACAAAATGATTGGAGCCATTCCCCCGACAGCCTTTCATTTTCCAGGACATCAAACTCATCTTCAAACCTTTTCCGTTTCTCTCGCAGCATAGGCCCAGTCACTGTTTCACGTCTACTCTCCATGTGCCTAACCCACAGAATTAAGGCACGTTCGACATCGGGCCTTGTGACAATCCTTGGCCGCTTCGATGACAATGCATTAGGGTTATCGTTGATCCGTGCTTCCATTTTTGGATGTTCCCGCAACTTGCGTGATAAGGTTGACTGCGTGAAATTGAGTGCACCCGACTTGAGAGATTTAAAGTGTTCAACAATTTCAATCTGTGATACAGTAGGATGAGAATCAACAAATGAATAGACTGTTAACCAGTCAGAGAGTGTAAGATTGTGGCGAGAAGTGCATTTGGGAGAATGAGCTGAAGTTCGAGGAGTGTCCTTGGTAATTTTCTGCCGCTTCGCAGGTCGGTTATAGACAGCGGGCTTGTCACGGGGTTTGCATTTTGGGTTTACGGACATTGTTGTGTGGTATCGTACTGTCGTGATTACTTGCTAGCTTCTATACATAGTCGAACGAGACAATACCACTGAAGCAGAACAATAAATTTATGCAATACATTGTCGTACCTATTGTCCCGTCCTATCAATTTGGTACCTCATAATGCATATTGGCTATGCAAAGGTTATGCATTATGCATTATGCATTATGCGGTCAATTACATGGGAACGCCGTCGGGATCCAAAAAAGTCCATGCATTATGAGACTTATGCATTGTTAGCATATGCATTATGAGCATTTCAACTGTACTTTGAAGTGACACAAGAAGAGTAGTGACATGTACTAAATCTTTTCTTTCCTAAATCCTCCCCATACGCAACAGTTCATGTACACGACCTTCACGACGAAACTCGCATAAATATGGCGAAAGGTTCTACTACGCCTTGGTCTTACATCTTAATTCGGTGAGGTCAGCGACATCCCAAAGGTCGACAGAATTTGACGGTGGTGCTAGGTTGCTCTTCAAGTTTGTGCTGAAGATATTTTATGGGACCATCGTCGTCGAGAATGCTGATATTATACCGAAAACCGGGCAACCATGGTCCGTTTTCAGTCGGGTTATTCTCCATTAGCTAAATGGTTTTGCGACTCAGCATTGTCTGTGCCAACCATCCCAATTCCCTGACGGATGCACTGTGAGAATAGCATCTACCTTGGCCAAGCGTGTTAACTCATCGTTTGTGTACGTCAGTCTTCTGGTAACTTCTATGCCGTCCAAAGTAAGCAACCACGACCTTGAATCTGACGTCATCATTGACCTATTGCCGCATAGACCCGTAATATGCTGCGGCTCACGGCAAAATCCACCCAATTCGGCCATCGGACATTCACCAGTTGGCTGATCGAATCCGCAGGCACTGTGCCTATTAAGCGGCGTAAAGACTACAATGACAGCGAGGTTGATAACAGCCAAGCCATGGATAAGCTAATGGATGTAAGATGCGTTTATAATATACATATAGGGGATCTGAAAGTCCAATCAAATCTAACAGGCACTCGAACTGGGAGATGCAGTTTGTTTATTTCCGGAGGGGGCAAGTCGTTATCACCCCACCATTGCCCCCCTTAAGACTGGAGGTTTGTCGACTGATTAGTATCTGCTAATGTTTGCTTCATCTATCTTTTAGTGGCTCGTATTGTTTCGGATGTCCTGAGTCGTAATCGTGATGATCCAAACTTTTCTGTATCCATTCTGACATGCTCAATCACTTACATGTAATCAACCTATTCTGATATTTCCGCCTAGTTACTGACCGTGTAAAATTATAGGCATCGACAACATTTCAGATCAGATGTTCTAGTAACATTCAACACCCCAACGACGTTTACTCCCAAGGTGCGTGCATATATATATCTATATAGAGCATTTCATTTAGTGTCCTGTGGTTCAGGATAATCCAGAGCTTCTGGCTCCCGTACAGTATGACGAAATTCGGGCTCTGACTACACGGATGCAACAACAAATTAGTTCCCGGACGATTGACTCGCCATCTTGGGAATTTGTGAGATCCGCAAAGATGGCGACACGCATGTATGCACCTCTTGGGACTCTTATGAGCCTAGGAGAATATGTGCGAATCACCAGAACATTTGTCGAGGCTTTCAAAGCTTCCGACGACACTCAAAAGAGCAAACGTATTGTTGAGGATCAGTCTATCGACTTCACCAAGGAGGACATTGAGCTCAACCAACTGCGTCGTGACCTCAAGGTAATACAGCTTTTAATGAATGTACCTGTCTCTAAATTATCGTCAAAAGTATTATCAAGACCGGCTTGTTCATTGGGGTATCAAAGACGATCGCATTGCGCGTCCTCTCTCCTTGGGAACGATTACCATGCGGATGGTTATTCGACTAACGTGGTTCATATGTCTCTTTACCATATCTCTTCCAGGCCTGGTGCTCTGGACCCCAGTATTCATTACCACATTCATCGCCGTCCGGAACTTCAAAAGAACTGGGCCAGTCTGGGACACCTTTGACGAGATAGCGCAATATAAACTTGTCTATGGACTTTTTTCGGGTCTATCCGTCTGGGCTGCTTGTATTCTATTGACGCTTCCCTCCGCCGCATTCACAACATTTCTCGTCCCTGCAATGATGTGGATGACCCTGAGATGGACAGAAGACGCGATATCGGCTTTCCGCGCCTTTATGGCACTAGCGAGGCTTCTGTGTGTCGGGAAGAAGACGCTGAACGAGATACGAGTGACAAGGCGGGATCTGCATTCGCGATTGATGAATCTTGCTGTGGGGACTTTGGGTTTACCGGATGATCCCGAGAAGTTTTTCGTCGAACGTGGGGGTAAACAGAAGGGTCGTGTGAGAAGCACATGGGACAGTGGAGCTAAGTACTTCTCTGTCAGAAGGAGGCGGAAGAGGGACTGGAATGAGACACTGAGGCTATATGACCAGGTAGACTATCCCGAAGATGGGTGAAGAAGGGCTATGTATACCAGATGGCACATCTTGACAACCGATATTTGGTATTTCATTTTGCATACAACTTTCACACAATTACACCTTTATGATTAAGTGAGAGAGCGACTCGTTCAATGAACATATTTACAAAATGCGTGCATACACTAAGTGCAGAGGTATCCAAATATAGTACAAAGAAAACCGAAGCCGAGTCCGATTCGTCGTGTGTTCGTAGAGAGTAAGAAACGAACTATACATTTGAACCATAATTTTGAACGGGTTTGTATAATCTGCGACGATAACCCTGGACTGGTGTGTTTGATCTGTTACCGGCGGCCCACTTCTGGCCGCGGTCCGCAGCAACTCCGGTTATGATGACGCCAGCCCCTACAGCAAAACCTGAAACCCAAGAAACGGCGTTTAAGACGTAGCCAACACCTTTGAGGAGTATATTATTAGAGTCAACAAGAAGCAAAGGCATCGTAAAAACTAACCAGGCTTAGCGTGTTCGAATCCCGGGAAACGGTTCTTGCGATACAGCTCGGTGACGAGGATAAACGTCACCAGTTGGAACACAGCTGCGGAATATATCAAGATGACGTCTGATGAAGCCATGTGCTTCATAAAGACTTACCGTGTAATATGACTAGCCCAGCCACCGCTCTCCAAACCCTTCTCCTTCTGGAGTGCGTGCTCACGCCGATGACCAAAGCAACGAGACCCATTCCTGCGAAACCATTGCCAAGCTCGGTGAAGTATTGAGCAGAGGTCCAGAGAGCACAGAACAGGCGGTTTTCTTTTTCACATTTGTCTTGTACGCGGAGGGGAAACTGGCGACATTCGTAGTCGGCGTATTCCAGACGTCCTTTGCTGGGACCGGGAATGCTGATGGTAGAAGACTCGCAACGTTGGTTTAAGCCATAGCGAACTGTAACGTGTGTGTTCGCGATGTCATATCTAGCAATAAGCCTTCAAATACAATGTCAGGGTATTTGATGGTTAAAAGTTCTCTAGGCGAACCAATCCGGGAGACGTGAAGATAAAATATTCTAGAAACCCCCTGGATGAGTGGACATTCAAATGAAATGGGACGTGAACGGCGTACGATGATAAGAATGGCGAGAACAGCGACAAAAGTCGCTGCGTATGAGGTTTTCCTCATTGCAGGGGAAGTTTTGAAGGAGATAGCGAGAGGGTAAAGTAATATTTGAGATGCTCCACAACTGGTTGAATATGTCTCTTTTATTGTTAGTATTATGTAACAATCAATTACCGGATGGGCCGGGAGTTTGGTACCGCGCGATATCTGCGACCATTCGCGCAAATATCTCAACCGTACGTGACAATGCAATGCCCTGATGCTCCGGTGAGAGAGACAACCGTGGAAGGAAGTGCGTATATCTCGCGTCAAACTATTCTGTCGTTGTTTCCAAGCCGATTTGGTGCATCCAACATCATCACTTCTAAGTTTGAGGCTCGGATCCCAAAATATGAGGAACATGTAGTATTCATAGCATATTGGAAATATGTGACGCGCCGCCAACGCACCGGTATCGCTTCTTTTACTTCTTCGTACACTAAAGCTTGTAGTTTCCGCAGTCGCTGCATGGTTGAATTAACCAGAGGGTATTGAACAATCACTATACCACTCTTCTCCGAGTTGCCACAATTTTAGATGCTCATGATCCTCGTTGTTCGGGCGTTCATCTTATCTAAGGCCTCATGATCACTTCCGGTACAGTCTGAGTTCATCAGTAGTATCGACAAGAATCGAAAGCAGCCAAGGCAGGTGGCAGATTTTGCAGCAATACCCATTCAAGCACACTCCCGGGCCGGAACTCGGCAGGGGCGAGTGATCCAGGGTATTGATGACGTAGCTAGGGCGTCAAAAATCAAGCTGGCGGTGGGTTATTAACAGGTATCCTAAACAAGTATTGAAAGATATATCGACTTTTAAATTTCAACCGTAACTTAGGCCTGGAGGTCTCGCAAAATCTTCTTTGCTCGACAGATTCGTTGCAACTTCGGTCTGACTCGGAATCACTACTATGTCCCGAGCTCCGCCCTGAGCTAGGCACGCGTACGACACCGTCGGGCCCGACAAGTCTTGTTGCTCTTGATACATCAATAGTGGCCAGTGGGCAATGTCCTTGTCGATTAGTGGTTAAATCATCGCATTGTGGCTACTCCAATCTGCGAAGCCGGAAGTTCGAATCCTCCCTGGGACAAATGGTCTTTTTGCTCCACGTCACAAGCACATTTATGTCTATCTCAGCTTCCCCGCACCCAGATATGAATAACTTGTCATGCCTGCAAATGATGGCATCGATGATAAGCCAAATGACAACTTATTATTATCATAGTTGACGTCAAGCCTTCCGGAATTCTTGGCTCGGAAACGGCCGAAACAGAAGTCACTCTATCGGTGAGTTGTTTCGACATGACGAGACTTGGAGTTTGCTTGGAGATGAAGCTTCCTACTCCCCACCAACCCTCTCCCAACCGTAAACTACCCTACCGGTGGGTCATGGTTACTGGCGCAACTGGTCATTGGACGCGGTTGCAATCCTGCGACAGAACCTGTACTCCCACTAGTACTAGGTATATAGGTTCAGCCTAAACAGAACGAAAAGGTCAACGCGGCTGGGGTAGCGGTAGTCCCTGACGAGAACTGTTCGCAACCGCTGCCACCTCTACTATTCTAGCGTTCCTCTTGCCCTAGCTAACAAACTCTTATTCTCAAAGGAGTCGGGCGGGTGCTAAGAACGTGGTCTGCCTTGCGATGCTCTACTGGACGCTCTAGCTTGGGCTTCGTTTATCCAAACCAGTCGCTATTGCCAGTGGTGTTGTGGAGCGCTGGGTATCCCTTTTCGGCCCGTGTGTTGAGGAGTTTCAAACGTTCGTGAGGCGAGTCGAACGTGCTGGACCCTTGCCTCGAATAGCACTGGTCTCAACAAATCACTCACTGAATATTACTCGTTGCCTTTCATTGCCCGCTCATCTGAGAGCGCTTGAATTCCACTAACGTACACGTTAACCACCGACACAGAAAGCACATCAACACTATCTCAGTGCACTGCGCTCAATCAATTCGAAGGGGGCCTGATAGGAATGAACCTCCAGTATGACGCCTCGCCTGCGCCATCCACCGCGAGTTGGACCTAATCACATGAGGAATATATGTTATGCAACAGCACAAAATGAAGCGTCGTACCTCTGTTCCATCATCACTATGAGGCAACTGCAACAACAAGCCTGAATCAGGGTCCCGGATGCTGAGGAGAAGAGCCAGGTTACACCCTGAAGACGTGTGATCATATATGGCATACTCACATCCACCTGCCTACATCGCGGTACGACACATACCATTCATAGGGCTTAGCATTATAAATCACTTTCTCAGACTTTTGCAAAATTAGCCATAAACTTCAAAATCAAGGGCAAGTAAAACTGACGTCGGCACCGACGTAGTTGGAGCTGGAGCTAGAGTCCAACTTGATGGTTATCTTGCTGTTCTCGCCTACAGTGGTGGCCTTGATTTCCCACTGCAAAGGCCATGAGAACTGAACGGTAGTGCAATGAAATATTTGTTCAAGAACTTGCCTCGATGCGTGGATTGACCGAATCCTCGTGACGGCCGACGACGATGACGTCCTTATCCTTGAGTCCTATATTTTGCTCGTGATAGTCGACATTCTGGATGCGGTATACTCCATCCCATGGAACGATGGAACCCATGATAGTGTTTTGAAGTAAAAGGCTTTCGAAGAAGATGGGGACACACCCTACGATGATTGAGATCTTTTATACTGCACTCTGCCCGGTTTCAGACGCGTTAACCGCCTTCCATTGTTAAAGAGATATCAAATGACCCGACAACTTGCATAGAATAGAGCACAATTGCGCAAGTTGAGCGAATAGCACCTCAAGATGATGTGCTTCCATTCCGCTCGCTTCCACAAGTGTAAGAACTTCTTGAACTTACGCTGGAATTACTTAAAAGTTCTGGTCAGGTGCAAGCCATTCGCGAGGGAGCCTATCGGGTGAGCTGACAGCTTGCATGGAAGAGTGGATACTTGCGTAAATTGCGCGAATAGCACGGGCCTTTAGACTGATTATCCGCAAATATCATTCGTGCTCTCTATGAAAGCGAAGACAGGTGAGCGCAAAATTGTACATTGAAAGCACGACTCACTGGATTCGTTCGTCGAAAGACACATCGTACGCACTGGTCATATCATAGTAACTGAAACTAGCTAGTCGGTGGTTTCAAGAAACTGGGGACAGGTCGAAGAAAGGGCCTGGCTTACGGCTGCTTACGGGCTTCGTGGACCTGATCGTACCTGTCGACCAAATGAGGGTAATCGATAATTGAATCAGTACAACATAATTTTGAGTCTGATCCAATGGCTGCAAAGGTACAGCAAGCAAACCACCTTTCCATACGATCGCAAAGAAGACAATCATCGTGATTGACAAATCAACCTGCACTGACAATGCCTGAGCATCATGGAGACACTTCAAATCTGGTGATCGCCGTTAAAAGGTTTCACATTGTGAGGTAATATTCACGTCTGTTGGAAATGATGGTTCCAACCGTGACCATTCCATTCATCTCGGACCGGTGACTGTCATAACCGTATGATTCGAAAAATCTGTAGTTCGGTTCACGTTCATACTTGAGGCTTTATACACTGGCAGTAACATGTGTTCATGTTGAATGGATCCCAAAAACTTGTTTTGAGGCAGGGACCTAAGCCGGATCCGGCCACACAAAATATGCGGACATCGCCACATCGAGAGCATTAAACCCTCGGTACCCCTTGAACGACACGAGGATAAGTAAGAGCAATGAGCTGCAAAGCTGATCAGGTACAGATATGCTGCGACTTCGAGGCTCTCACCCTAAATAGGTCAGGTGCACGTGCAGCTAATACTTGTGGATCTTCTCCGAGACCTACGAAGCTGGAAATCGAGAAAATCAGCAACCGGTATCTCCATACACCGAGGTTTGCACATACATAGTAGACACTCCAGCCTCTATGGCAGCGGACATTGTCATCGCTGCAAAATATTGATAATCATACAGAACTATCGACGGGATCAAAAAGAAGCACGCACAGCATTGCAGTCCAATGATGAATCCAAACAAGACAACCGGCGCTGTGTACTGTCCATCGGCGTTATATGCAGGATCTGTCACTGTGCGGTAACGATGGTACCGATTTCTCAAGCACATTAATTCAGTACGCACGGCGCAGGTAGAGATACCCAAAGAGTGAGCATAGAAGTCCAATGGCATACGCTCCCCACGTCAAAGCTGTCGAACACCATCAGATGACGTCAGTATCTTCAACTGGTGACTCACTCATGCCAACCAATGAATCGTTGACAAGCGCATCAATCCCTAAAATATTAGCATCCTGAGAGTGCTTACGGGAAAACAAACGATAACGGGGCGTACCACGATCCATGAACATGGTCCAAGTGTCTTTTGCTGCTTTAATGTAAGGTTTTCCATAGAGCGCTAATAATACCGAATGACTGGTTAGTCCAACCGGATTAACTTGAACTCAGATAACTTACCAATCTCGATGTAGGCATATCTATTGAAGTACCTTACCAGTCCTTCGATACATCCAACGAAGAACTCTGCACAGCAAGCAAGACATGCTTCTACGACTTATCGAAGACTTCAAAATGGCATTAAAGTGAGAAAAATTCAGATTGATACTCACAGCTCCCTTGCGCATTTGCATTGTTCCTCGCAGCATTTAGGATAAGGCGAACAATTTCCAAAATAGTGACAATCAGGGATCCAAATGCTATTGACCCAAGAGAAAGCGTTGAAGCACGTCCAAATGCGCCAAGGGTTGGATGCTTTGGCTAAAATCAATGTATAAGCATAACGGAGGGCACATAGAACAGAAATTTACCATCAGTTGCTGCTCTTGAGGTCCGAAGTAATACCAACCTGTGATGTGTATATGAGATGATGAAACCAAGAGTCGTCTAGTTAGGCTCACTTCCGTACGGTCCACCAGCAAGAGTGGCTAAGGCGACGTTACCGATGACTTGAGATGTCCAGAGGTAGGAAAATATTGCATAGAATACTAGGCCTGCCACGGTACTTCCAGAACAAGACGTTCCGTTGTCGCAACCTGAGTGATTGTTCAAACTTGACTAAATTGACTAGTAACGCAAACTTACTTGGG